AGTGAATCAGAGGAGTCTGGGAACTTTTACGATCTGCACAAAGGAGATAGTTATTTGATGGGAATAGAGGTGAGGAGAATGTCTGCACACACCTGCGTCTCTTCTACTGGCCCTGTCTAATTACACCATGGCTCCCAATAATGACAGCCACAGAAATCCAAAGTCTTAAATCTTAGTATTAAATCAGATTAGCCCCAATCTCGCTAGAGGGCTGGGACTGGTCAGAGAAACTACTTAGTCACCTTATCTTAAGATCTGGGGTGGGACAATCTCCCCAAAGATGTCCAAGCTATGGTCCCAGATACTGGCCACTAAGGCTAAAGGGCCCTGGTCCCAAATAACTACCACTCGGCACCTAGGAAAAGACAAGTCACCTACCGTCACCCAGCTACCTGGCTGGACGACTGCCCAATGCAGAGGACAGAAGACTGGGTCTTCTTGTGGATGTATTGTAACCTAACCAATGAGGAATTAAACATACACACACATCCACACGCACACATGCACATCCACACACTCACAAAGTCACATAGATACTCACACTAACCATTCATGCATGGTCACATTTATAGTGTCACAGAATGCTGGCACTGAAATGGATCCAAATGATTCCTAGTCTAACGTCACTATTTTACTGTTAATGAAACTGAGGCCAGAGAAGGTCAGGGACTTGCCTGAGGTCACCCACCTGGTTAGGAACAGAGTCAGTCCTTATCTGGACCTCTGTGCAGTGCATTGTCTACCACATCACAGTGAATAGACAAGTACAATTCAAAGACTGAGTACTACTGTGGAGGCAGAGTAAAAGACATAGAACAAGGAGAATTGGTGGGTGGGGGATCAAGGAAGACTGCATGGAGGAGCTAAATCCTGAAGAGATTTCAGAGTATTCTGGGAGCCCAAATTTGTCCATTCTGATTCAGATTTCACTAACATTCTGTTCTGTAGTAGCTTCATGACCCTAAGTGCTGGTGCATGCATTCTCTAATTTATTCCTCACAAGAAATCTGTGAAATAGTCGTATCCCTTCTCAACAAGAGGAAACTGAGACTCTGAGAGGTTAAGTAGCGTATCCAATACCACACCTACTCTAGGTGATGGAATCAGCCCTAGGTCAGTGGGATCCTGAGTCCCACTCTTTTTCCATGCATCACAGTGCCTCTTACCAAATACCAGTCTTTGATACAAGAGCCGACATTACAGGTAAAAGTACACTTAAATAAGGAGTTATAAGTTAGGATCTCACTTTATTCATCTGAGACTTTTCTTCTTCAGAGTTCCCAAGAGCTTCAGACACAAGGGAGGTGTATTAGTTTCCTATTGCTTATGTAACAAATTACCACAAACTTAAAACAACAAAAAATTATCATCTTAGTTCTGGAGGTCGGAAGTCTGAAATGGGTCTCGCTGGGCTAAAATTAAAGTGCTGGCAGGGCTGTGTCTCTCAAAGGGCTCTAGGAAGAATTTGTTTCCTTGCCTTTTCAGCTTCTAGAGATTGCCCACATTCCTTGACTCGTGGTCCCCTTTCATCTTCAAAGCCAGCAATGGGCAGTCAAGTCGTTCCACATGGCATCACTCTGACACTGACTCTTCTGCCTCCCTTTTCCACATTTAAGGACCCTTGTGACTTCCTTAGTCCCATCTGGATAATCCAAGATAATCTCCCTATTTTAAAGTCAGTTTATTATGAACTTTAATTCTATTTGCTATTTTAATTCCCCTTTGTTATGTGACCTAACAGAAACCCTGGTGGCACAGTGGTTAAGAGCTATGGCTGCTGACCAAAAGGCTGGCAGTTCGCATTCACAAGGCACTCCTTGGAAACCGTATGGGGCAGTTCTACTCTGTCCTATAGGGTCATTATGAGTTGGAATTGACTCAACGGCAACGGGGTTTGGTTTGGTTTTGGATGTGACCTAATTATTCCAAGTTCTGGGGATTGGGATGTGGACATCTCTGCAAGGCCATTATCCAACATACCATAGAAGGATTTAGGGGTGAATTCCAGTATTGTTCCATTGTCGTGAATCAGCTCAATGATTGGCAGAAATTTCTTTACAGGGGTCAAAGTCTGGGGTCTCCCTTGCTGGGTTCACCACCTCCACGAGAACATGACCTGGCCTCTCCATTGTTCTGTACATCCCTATCTGGTTCCTTCCCCATGGGCTCAGCCAAAGCCCCAGAAATGCACGTGGTGTGAGGAAGGTCATCTCATGCAAACTGTTGTAGGCAACTTCTGGAAATCTCATCTAAGCAGATTTCCTCCCCCCACCCCTTTCCCGAGTCTGCCTTGGACTCTCCAAACATCTCACTTGCATCTCTCTACTTCAACAACCTCTTAACAGGAGTTCCTTCCCCTAGGCTGCCTGGATGTAATCCCTACTTTCCAGAAAGACACGGTACAGACATCTCCTCCCCCAGAAGCCTTCCCTGGTTGCTGGCCTTTTCCACCCAAGACTGATGTAAATACCTACTCTAGGGAGCAGGGTAGGGGGTTACATCTGTCTTTTCGCCCATCTTCTCCATCAGGCTGTGAGTCCCTGGGAAGCAGGATCATGAATGACTGAAAGAATGAATGAATGAACTCAGTAATGGAGAATTTCCTGCCTCCTAGCATGCAGGAGAGTTGCTTTGTCTCTTAGACAGCATTCCACAGAAAAGATGAAGGAGATTATGAGGAAGAAGAGAAAGGGAAGAAGGAGGATGAAAAAGAGGAGAAAGGTAAAGGAGGATGAGAATTTGCCCATCCTATACTGATCACCCAGTTCTCAGATTCCCCAAATGACCTTATCTCTTCAGACAAACCCACTGGATATTCCAAATCCCTCCCCTTCACCTCATACAGCCACTGCTCCCACTCTCAGCCTCCAGAAGATTATGTCTCTCACAGGAACATCAGCAAGACTTCCCTGAGCCATCTCTGACCCCTCCCCACTCAGACATCTTTCTCTTACCAAGACATCAAGAAGCTCCACTCTAGTGTTACATCAGTCTTCTGTCCACCAGTCTTAAAAGGTAAAAAATGTCACCTCATCTTCCCCAAGTCCCCTTTTAAAACCTTTTTAGGGATCAAACAGCCAAAACTATGTAAACATTTGGAGACATTTCTGACTTTAGACAAATGGGTCTCTGAGGCAATGATCTAAACCTACTTCTTCAAGTTGAGGAAGCCATCATCTTTAAAGTCTCTGGAACTTGGTCAACTTAGCAAACAAGCACAAGGCCAACAGTTCATGGATTTGTAGCTTCTTTCAGCATGAATCTTTTCTTATTTTCAATTCAATGAGATCCTCCTCTACGCCCAGTAGTCTCCCATAGTCATCCTCTCCATTCCTTCATTAATGCACTACCTCATCAATATTATCTTCCATTATCTTCCAATTGCCATGCTTATGGCACAACCCCAACCCCCCTACCCTCTAGGAACTTACAACCCAGGAAAACAATAATATTTTGTACATAAATAACTAGAATTCCTAATAACAGTAGTAAATGTCATATAAATAGCACAAATAATGAATATTACGGGAGTTCATAAAGAAGTGAATTCATTTCTGCTTCAGAGTAATCAGGAAAGGCTCTTGGAAGGTGGTAGGCTTGAGTGGAGCCTTGAAGTATGCTTAGGATTTCAACACGCAAAGAGAGGGAGGACACACCAGGTAAAAGCTACAGCTACAAAGACTTGGAAGTAGAGAAAACTGGGTGTGTTTGCTTTGAAACTTTCCCTTTCATCCCCCTAGTTTTATTGACCTGAGTTCTAAGAAAAGATTTTCCAGAAGGCAAGAAGACAGACTAAACTTGTTCCACCCTGTCTTCTTGGTAACTATGAAAACTCTGTGAGTAATTCCACTTTTAGGAGGGTGTTATGAATCAAGATTTAGAAGACGGCCTGCCTTCTGCCTTCTTCCTCCTCTTTCTTCCTCTCCACTCCACCCCACAACCAAACAGCAGCAAATGACACCAATTTCCCTCAAGACTTCCATGCAGGAGGCCATAGGCCATCCTCTCTCCAGAAGGCTGTGTACATTTTGTTTGTTTAGAAACACAGGACAAGGATCTTCCTTGGGTCTGAAAGTGGGAGTTTCCAGGCTAGATGAAAGGGCAGCCCAATGAAAAGTCCTGAAACAGGCCATACATGCTCTTGATCCAGACAGACCCCAGGCCTTAGGCAATAAGTCTTCCATTGGGGAAGACAAGATAAGCAAGGTGGATCTTATCTCTCACCACATCCTGAACCAGTTTGGACAGACAAGGAACCCCAGCCCTGATTTAACAGACTGAGATAACGTTTTATAAACATTCTTTCTCTGCTGCCTCTGATGTAAGAGATCTGAGAGAAACCCCTCCCTACTGAGGTCTAGTGAGAACCCAGAGGCCAAAATAGAGGCTGATTTACAAGCATCCCAAGCAGTGACTCAAACCATTGGCAATTTCAGAGGAAGCTCATTATGGTGACTCCACAATTAGGACCTTGGCCCACGTGGCCAGTCAGTCCTGCGGGAGACTGGACCAAGCACTGTATAAAAGTCCCCACTTTGCTAGGCTCCACAATCTGCATCCTTTGCTGAGTCTTGTTGAAGATTAGGTAAGTGGAGCATCTGTGCCCTCTCTCTCCCTGGCTGCTCTGTCTCCTGGAGGCTTCTGTTCTGGCTCTTCCCTGGACTCTACTTTCTACTGATTTTTGAAATGTCTTGCCGTTTCTTGGACCACCCAAACCATCCTATCTGATCTCTCTATCTAGTCTCTCACACCTGATTTTTCAATGAATTAGGCAACAAAAAGAAAAGGAAAAGAACTGTGGTAAGACTGGGGTTTTGGGGTATGGATAGCCAGACAAAAGCTATTAGAATAATTCCCACCTAGAAGACGAATGTCAGAAGGACCTGAGGTAAGGATAGAAAAGTCTACACTCTCTACCTTCCATCTCCCAGGTCCCAGCCTGACACTTTTAATGCAGGTAGTTTCAAATCTTGTGTTTGTTTCAGGTTCTGAAAAATCACCTGAAGATGTCTTTTGACGAGCAGCAGTGCAAGCAGCCATGTGTGCCCCCTCCATGTCTTCAAAATACCCAAGAGCAGTGCCAGGCAAAGGCTGAGGAAGTGTGCCTCCCCCCAGGCCAGGACCCCTGCCAAGAGAAGTGCCTAGCCCAAGTTCAGGAGGTGGGTCTTCCTCAGTGCCAGGAGTTAAGCCAAGAAAACCGCCCACAGCAAGGCCTAGATCCATGCCTACCTCCATGCCAAGACCAATGCCTTCCTCAGTGTGTGGAGCCATGCCAGGAGCTATCCCAGACTAAATGTGTAGAAATTTTCCCACAGAAATCCCAAGAGAAGTGCTCACCCCCTGGCAAAGGAAAGTAGCTACTCATCAGCCCATCTAGGGTCAAGAAGATGGCCAACAGATGAAAATCCAACTCTAGCTCATGCTAAGGTGACGTTCTCCTGTGGTTACTTCTATGTGCAATGTAGCTTCTTGCCTCTTGACTTCCTCAGTATTCCAGGGCTTAGTCTGCATCTCTGAAGACAGTTCTCTCTGTATTTTGTCAATCTCTGTGAACAACTATTGTGTTCAGCAGTCTGGCAGAAGGTCTCGAATGTGGGAATGGTGTGGTTACCAGTGGAGAACATAGAAGCCTATCACAGCTCCCTTGGGTCAAAAATTCACCCAGCTCTGGGTGTGTACCAGCCAAGGATGCCTTCATTCATCTTTCAGTGTCAGACTCAAAACCAACTGAATGTCAATGGACTTTGCACTTACCACCATCATCACCGCCACCACCATGGGTATGTGGAAGAAGAGGTTGGTGGTGTTGCAAAAGTAAAAAATTGTGTAATTTTGTCTCTGCATCCTAAAACAAACAGTGAATAACTGGACATTGTAATATTGGTTGTGCTTTAAAAAAAAAATGAAACAAAAAGTATGAATCCATACAACCAAAAGGGAAAGCCAAGGTGGGATCTCGTGGGGTGCCTGTTGATTTTGGAGCTCTATAGCTGGTTTGCCTTGGGCCCTAATTTTTCACCTTTCAGGGATGTGACTTGTGTCTGTGAGTTAGGCTGGTCTGCTCTCCAGCTTCCTTGCCTTCTTCTCCCTGGAGAAGGTAAAATACATAATAAATCAGATTCTAAGACTGATTTCTGACTTGATGTGTGCTCTTTCCTCTCCACCACCAAACCACTTGCCATCCTTATGATGATTATGTTCTTTATTTTATTTTTGAAAGTCTTGAGTCAGAATAAAAACCAGATCTCATAGGCTTATAGAACAGCAGTGCTGAAAGAGTTCTCATTAAGGATCATCTAGACCAGCCCACCCCACATACAACATATCAAATGCTCACCTATGCACACACCTCACAATGAGAAAACCCAGCAACGGGATAAGACTTGCCAACACTCAAGACTTTGGGTACAGGGTCCTTTCCTCTACAGCATCTTTCCTCTCTGATCCTTGCTTTCCAGAGGAAAAGGCTGAAATGCGGAGAAGGGAGTTGTATGAAAGAATGGGCCCTAAAACCATTCATGTCACCTCCAAAGCGTAGTATCCCCATCAGAAGGAAGAAATAAGCCGGAGATGAACACGAACTCAAGGAACAAAATTGTCTGCCATGCCGTCTGGCTGGATTTAAGGGTAACTTCCCTGCACCCTAATTTCCCTCCAGCTGTGTAGGAATCACAAGGCTGTGGGCTCTGTGGTTGTGTGAAAAGGCCAAGGACGTCCTGCACAGTGCTCTGGCATTAGAACAGGGCCCAGAGACCCCAAGGGTCATCCTCTTGAGGGGTGAGGGGGCTCCTTCTTCATTCCCCTGGGTCCCCTTTCTACCCAGCATGTATGGTTGTACCTTGGCAGAGGGCCAGAACAGCTCCTCCCCAGAGGCTGTGTGGAAACAGATGCCTCCACTGTTGGGCTGAACTGAGGGCCTTTGGGCACTGGGATCACTCCAGTCTCTCCATCTTAGAGATTTCTAAGGCTAGAGAGAATTGGGAAATTCTTTAGGGGAAGAGTTCAAGAGGTAACATAGGGCTGTCATGCATTCGATGAGTCCTCAGATGTCACGTGAGGCCCTACATGTGCCTGGCCCTGAGCTCTATGCACATTCTCGAACCTAGTCCTGACAGTAACCTCAGGAGGTTTGTGTATTTCCCTTCATCAGACAAGGAAAGCTACTCTGATGTGTTAAGGAACTTGTCTGGCCTCACAAAACTAGTAAGTTGTGGAGCCAGGATTCTAACCCGAGATCCTCTGACTCGAGAACTGAGCTCTTATTTGCATGAGGCAAGGGCCTGTGGCACCCAGAAAAGACTTCTGGAAGCTATCTTCTTCTCATTCATTCATTTACCCATCTAAAAAGTGCTCACTTAACATGTACCAAGTGCCAGGCACCATGCCAAGTGTTGGACAGACAGTGATGAATCAAGCAGATGAAGCGTCCCTGTGCAGGGAGCTGGAGAGTCATCTTTCCTGCAGGCCACACATGTCAAGGGAGCCTTTCTGAAAACCTCCTGGACACTTCAATTCCCTGAACATTTCCTGATGTCTGACTCACGGTTCTCTTGTCTCCCCTGCCTGGCTGGAATAGGTTTTCTCTTCCATGTTTTAACCTTAGAATAAGCCAGCTACTCTCTGAGACCCCAGCCAGCAGAGAAGCTTTCCTGTCAGTGGAGCTTCCGATAAGGCTAAGAGAGACTCTGACACCTCCAGCCTGGCTCAAGTCTAGGAAGCTTCTTTGTTCTCTGACAGTGAAGGAGTGTACAGATTGGAGTCTATGATCAGACGTTCAGACGCTGAGAGGAAACCCGGGGCTAACGAGCATGGAGAGACCAGTCAAATCAGTGAGGGAAATAACCCACTGATGACAGGACAGGGGTAGCCTCAGTAGATCTTACATGGATGGGAAGGGGATGAGCCTGCAGACTGCAGCCAAGAGGACAGACAGGGGAGAAGGTGTCAGCCAGGTGGTAGGCTGTCATCTAGCCCTGTCATGGGAACCTTCCTCGTACTCTTAGAGCTGTGAGCCGGCCTTGCCTGGGCTGCTGCGGCTGGAGCGCTGGACTCCAATGACATAGCCCTGGGCCACAGGACACAGAGCCCAGAGGCCATGGGGGCAGCTAGGACCAAGCACATGTGGCTATACACTCCAAGCTGTTTGTATCTGTGCTGAAGATGCCTTCAAGAAAGGGGAGGGGGTACATTACCATGAGGGTCCCCGATGCTAAGGATTTTAATGGAAAGTTAACTCAATATGTGACAAAGTGGGACTATGGGCTCCACATGCAAAAAGAAAAAATACAAACATGCAGGAGTTCCAATGAGAGTGGTGTGGATTCATTCATTCATTCAATAGAGAGTTATGGAGGACCTATGAAGGACAAGGACTATGCCAGTCTCCATAGACATGTGATCAGGTGGGAGTGGGTGAGTGCAAGAGCAGTGGCCTAAAAGACTTTCATATTAGAAAGTGTTGGAATCTATTTCATCTAGAGACAAAATCACCACCCATATGTCAATTTGTCTTAGAAGTGTAGTGGCTTATGGGTTGCTATGATGCTGGAAGCTATGCCACCAGTATTTCAAATACCAGCAGGGTCATCCATGGTGAACAGGTTTTAGCAAAGCTTCCAGACTAAGACAGAATTAGAAGAAAGGCCTGGCGATCTACTTCTAAAAATTAGACAATGAAAACACTACGGATCATAACAGAATATCGTCCAACATAGTGCTGGAGATGAGCCTCCCAGGATGAAAGACACTCAAAATACACAGTGGCTGCAACAATGAACTCGAGCATACCAAGAATCATGAGCAACATTTTGTTCTGTTGTATATGGGGTCGCCATGAGTCAGAGACAATTCTGTGGCAACTAACAACAACAGAGAAGAAAATACCTGAGGGAGCAGGATAGCTGTCCTCAAGTATTTTAAGTGCTTTTATAAGGAAGAGATTAGATTTCTGTGAAGCTGTAAAGGACAGAGCTGGGACCAATAGACCAAAGTGACAAATTTTGGTTCAGTTAAAGAAGAACTTTCTCATGATCAGATCTGTTTGATGGTGGCAGGAGCTACCTTTGGACATGTTGTACTCCCATTGACTGGAGGTATGAAAGCTGGTGGGCGACAAGCAGACTGAGCTCTAAGATTCTTTCCACTCTGACTCTGAGACTAGTCTCCCTTCTTGGGTAGTTTGGGGCTCAACGACAGGGGGCACCTAACGGGGAAAAGATGAGTCCAAAGACTTGACCCTGAGGTCAGGCAGAGAGGAGGCTCCACTGGCTTCTAGAACATTCTTGGGAGGCCCATTGAGGAACCCAAACACCCGGGGACCAGCAGAGTATGTGACCTTGGCTTGAGGCTAAAGGAAAGGAGGAGGGCAGGGAAGTTATGGGAAATGACTCCCCCAGATTTGGGAATTTTATTAAAATGTCTTTGGAACACAATGCTTAGGGGACACTGAGCTTCTTTTAAGGGCGATGGAAAAATTCAGGAACGGTTAATGGTGATGGCCGAACAACATGATGAACATAATTAATGTCAAAAAAAAAAAAAAAGTCTTTGGAGCTCACATATGCTTCAGCCCTGAGCGGCACCTTACAGTAACTCCTCATTGCCTTCCAGACCCATTTCCCCCTTATCACTAGTTTTTGTTCTTTTTGTTTGTTTGTTTGTTTGTTTCATCTGGACCTCTTCTCCTTTCTCTCCTAGGCCCAGCTGGTCCACCTACCCCATGTGCATTCACACCTGACAAGTCATTGCAACCTCCTTTCTGCCTGCACCTGCCTCTCTCCACCTGAGGAATCTCCCCCTACTTGTCTCTGCCCATCCACAGGTTTCAAACTCATCTCCTCCAGAAAGCCCTCCAGGATGTCAAGCCCATTTCCTAATATACAGAGAGGCCCTGCAACATTTCAGCTTGGGCTCTGTCCAACTGCACTGGTCTAGGGGTGGTGTCTGTAGTGCCCTTACAACCTCTTGTGTGTGAATGACCTGTGTCAGGATGAGAGCCCCAAATGACAGGGCCTGGGCTATCATCTTTACCTGACTTCACAGGACCAACCACAGTGATGTCTGAGACACTCATACCATCAGCCACCAACATGTCCTCTGAGGCTTTGCTGGTCTCTGGAGTCACCTGGGAGGCCTCATTTATTGATAAGGTGATCAACCATCCCAGTTTTCCCAAGACTGGGGATTCCTGTGACTCAAAATTTTCAGTTTCAAAATTGGGACAGTGCCAGGCAAACCAGTATGAGATGATCAGCCTGAGTAGCTGGAAGACATGATGACTGGTGCTGTGGTAGCACAGATAGAAAGCAGACAAGAGTCTCCATGCTGGAGGAATTTACAGGCCAAGATTGGAATAAGT